ATGGTATTAAAAAGTTCTATAGCCTTCCAGCTTCTCCCCCCCAATTAAATATAATAAAAATCTAATAAGTGCACTTTAAGTTAGTATAATAGAGAACATTTCATCCAGAATCCCGTCACCCACATGTTACCAAGGGAGAAATTTTACTACCTCTCGTTTCAGGCCAGTTCAGGCCGGTGTACATTGCCTCAGAAGGGAGATACTTCTTTCTGATACTGGAGAGTCACCAGAAAACAGGACGGGCCGCTCATCTCGCCCACAGGCTAGGTTCTCCGGATGCCACCAGGTTTGCCAGACGCCAGCTCTTGTCAGAGTTATTCCATTTGCCTGTTCGCCCCTGCGTTCCTGCCTCCTGGGCTGGAGGCCTGCCTGAGGTCTGGGGGTCGAGGAGTGAGGTTGCACTTGCCCCGCGCATCGTGGACAGGAGATAATGGTTTACATGGGAAAGTACAGCCCCTCCAGCTTCAGGGATCAACTCACAGTGCAGGGAGGAAAAGCCCCAGAGGAAGATTAGGGCAGGGCATGCCTGCTCACTCACAACCTCACTAAAAGCAGATTCCTTATTACAGGGCCTTTAAAGGGGTAGGGATGTGTGTGGGTAGATGGGATCCTCACTGAGACGTGACCTGCTTTTTCCAGTGTTTGTGAGGATGTCTCATTAATCTGCAGGAAAGTGCTGGTTTCAATTCGATGGTTTATTTTCCTGTTTTGTATCTTTTCTGTTACAAACACAAAGGGTACATTAAGAGCCGTTCCCCATCATCTTGTTTTTCTAAAAAAACGTGTTTTTTAAAAAAGCCTGGTTTTTCTCAATACACCTTTAAAGGTTTTTAAATTGTTTCATATCTGGTCAAGTTGAGATTTTTAAGAACTTCATTTTTAATTTGTAATAAAAGTTTACAACTTGATTTTTTCAAAAAAGTCAACAAACTGTAAGCACCTGTTAATAAAGGTCTTAAATAATTGTCTTTGTGTAAAAAAAAATTTTTTTTTAGTTGTTAGAGCTTATTTTATTTATGGAGATGATTCAAATCCAGAACAACACGTACCTAATGACAATTCTGAAAACATTTTAGGAAGAGCAGCACATTGGTTTTTCCTTTTTGAGACATGTAAGAAGGCGTTCATGACTGCAGCGCCTCGCTTATGCCTCAAGGCTTGCTTAGTGCTGCCCTCCAAGAATACCGCTCCGTCCCCTGCAGGATGGACCGGGCCCCACGTCCTTTCCCTCGTACATCCTTCATAAAACCTGTCAAGTAATGTTTTTACATGGCTCTCTCCCTCCCAGATATGAGCAGGAACTCATCTGCTGAGCTCACATCCAGGCACAAAGATAATATTTTAAAAAATAGGCTGGATGCAGTGGCTCACGCCTGTAATTCCAGCACTTTGGGAGGCCAAGGCAGTCAGATCACTTTAGGTCAGGCGTTCAAGACCAGCCTGGCCAACATGGTGAAACCTCATCTCTACTAAAAATACAAAAATTAGTCAGTATGGTGGCGCATGCCTGTAATCCCGGCTACTCAGGAGGCTGAGGCACAAGAATTGCTTAAGCCCGGGAGGCAGAGGTTACAGTGAGCCAAGATTATACCATTGCACTCCAGCCTGGGTGACAGAGCAAGACTCTGCCTCAAAAAA